AACCCCAACTAAACCTCAGTATTGCATTATAGCCCCTGAAGTCCAAAAACTATCAAAAACCCATGTTCTGGGCATTTAGAAAATTGGAGCCCCCTCCAATTTTAAGTTGAGCCGGCTCCACCCACATTGGAGCCACCTCAACACTTTGAGGAGCCGGCTCCACTTCAATGGAGCTACCTCCATTGAAGGGTGGAGCCGCCTCCACTTCTCCAGCCTTCGTTTTTCCTTCTCTGCTTCCTCTGTGTTGCTTTCTTCGCGTCCAGCCAAGTCTCAATCCTCTATCCCAACTTTGTTAAAGATTTTCAAATTTTAATTATGTCCTAACAATCCTAGAAACTTCTCCCATTCCAGTACGAATTATTTGACAAAAGCTTAAATCATGATTGAAACAGTTTATGTTTTCTCCGTTTGTCTTCTTCGCTTTCGGCGAAGTTCAACCCTCTGTTCCAGAACTTTTCCTTACATTCTTAAGGTTCAATTCAGGTTCATTCAACCCTAGAAACTCCTCAAATTCCCTTGTGAAAATATTGACAAAAATTTAAAACGAAAACACAACGGTTCATAGTTTCGAAAGCGGAGAGGGGTTTAAAATTGTACAGAGATTCTATCATGCATAAACATCCATTTTAATAATTAAATTAGATTCCTGGAGACTATAGAGAATGCACAGAACACAAGTTTACAGGAAGGAGATAGAATGAAACTTGCCTTAAGATTCCGGTTTGAAATCTTCACCGCCGTTTATGGAGTTTTCGACGAACGGATGACTACCGGTAACCTTCCTACTGCTCCAGTTCTATTCCACCATTAACCTCTTCCTTCCTCTGTGGCACACCTTCAGTCTATAGCTAAAAACTCTATGTATTTTCCCCTCAAACCTCTCTGTTTCTCTCTTCTCTAGTTTTCCTCTGTTTTTCCTCTCAAGATACTATGTCGTGAATAGGGTTTGTAACCTAGCAGACCCTACTGTCTTATATATATATAGGTTCCTTCTAAACCCTAATCCTAATCCCAGCCCATTAATACGTCGGCTACCCTATTATACATAAATTAAACCCTAAACATACCTACAACGCACACATAAATTATATAAGTTACCAAAAATTACACATCAATTAAGTCACGAATAATCAAATAATAAAAAAAAATAATTACAATTAATTTAAACAACACAATTACCAATTAAGCAAATAAAACCATTAAACACATACCCAAATAAACATTTTTAAATGCACACAAATCAAATAATCAATTAAAATGCATATAAAATAAATAAATAAATTTCAGTTATATCCTTTTGAGAATTAGGGGTATTACAACATTGATGAGGATGTTTCCTACAAGGAGGGACCAGTTCAGATCCTTGACACATAGCAGAAGGTGTTGAGAAAAAAGACGATACCGTTGGTAAAGGTTCTTTGTAGGCATCACGGAGTTGAGGAGGCTACTTGGGAGCTCGAACAAGAGGTTCGCTCCAAGTATCAAGAGTTGTTTTCTCCCTCAGGTATGGCTTGATTTCGGAGACGATATCTTTTAAAATTAGGGAGAATGTAATGGGTATAATTTTATATATATATATATATATATATATATATATATATATATTAAAGTTATAAAGACATTTCTTTTTTCAAAAGTTGGTGGGCCCCACCAATATATTAAACACACAAAAAGGCCATAAGGCCATTACACGACTAAATTGTTTTTTCTCTCTCTGCTGCGTCCCTTCTCCTCTCGGCATCTCACTTTTCTTTTTTTTCTTTTTACAATCTTAAAGCTTGATCTAGCTTTACTCCTTTGAATTTTGCTAAAACCTTGTGAAGCAAAGTCGGAGAGCTCGTCGAGGCCTTCAATTTGATAAGAGCCAAACATCTTTTGGCCAAGCCTAGAGATTCCGAAATTAGGGCTTGGATTTAGGGATTTTAGGGTTTTTCACTTCCATTGAGGTAGGGGCGTTCTAATAGACAACTTCTTGGTTTTTATGTGAATTTTCTCCTTAAATTTGATCATAAGCATGCTAATTTTGATTACCTAGTTTATGGTTGTTGTAAGTATGATTAATCAAAATGATAAGTGTGTTCCATGTGTTATTTGAATTCATATATCTGACTAGATTCATTATGGTGGATGAGCATGCCTAGTGTTAACATATTGTATGCCCCATGATTATTTATTTATTGCTTTGAAAAAAAAAAAAAATTTGATGCTATGGTTATAAATAAATAAATAAATGAAATAAATGAATGTTTAGAAATTCTTATTAAATTGTGATGATGATGTAAATGGAATGTGTGAAAGCCTATAGTTGAATTGATGATTAGAAGTACGAAACATTCATGCATCTATCGGGAAGAGAAAAAGGAAAATGTTTTCAAAACAAAGGAAATAAATTTTTGGGAAAGTATTTTTAAAAGTGTTTGCGAAAACCGGACGCCTAGGAGGCGCCTAGTGGTCCGTGATGTTGGTGTAATCTAGAAGGGAATGTAATTGAGTTAACTAGACCGAATGCGACGCTTTGGAGGTGCCTTGTGGTCGTGGATAATTAACCAACCTTCCTTCCATGACGACATGGAGGTGCCTTGGGTCGGATTACACTAACGGTTTGGTTGTTGAAACAGAATTGTTTCGGAAATGAAAAATGACATTTGCATAACATTGCACTTCATGACATTGTGATAAACTTGTGATTGGTTGATATTTGTTATATACTTGTTATTATGGTTGATATTGTGCGCTTCCCTATGGCAAGATCCCGTTCACCTTTCATCTATTCATTGTATGGATTCACGGGGACATAAGAATTGTGTCTTAGACACTTCCTATAGAGCTTATGCTCACCCCATTATTTTTAACATTTTTCAGGACATGGAAAAGAAGTGGCGGATGACGATCCACCATAAGTTTAGACGAGCTTGGGGATCTATTTTATTTTTGCTATCTTTTGTATTAGAACTCTAATATTTTGTAAATGTAATATTAACTATCTTGTGAAACTTTAGTTTAATTAGTATAATGTTGTAAGTTATGGATTATTAAATTTTAGCTGCATTTTATGGACTGTAACTTGATGTAACTAAAGTGTACTCCTTATTTGGATGAGATGGAGGAAGGGGCATTTCATATGTATGTAACTATCTTGGAAATGTGATATAATATCTGTATTGTGTGTTGGGTCATGATAAGTTATTTTTAAGGCCTAGTGAGGCTATTCCATCTTTTTATGTATTTCAACATGTTGTAGAGGAACATTTTCTGCTGAGGTCAGGCCGAAATTTTCATTTTATTTTACTTTATTATTATTATTTTGGTGTCTTTTGGGTCGTTACAGCCTTGGATACGGTTGTTGCCGAAGTTTAAGTACACCAACTGGTCTTGAGTTTTCAAGAAATTAGGGAACTCAGTTAAGTTGCATGAGTTCAAATTAAGGGACTCAAACTTGGGAAGCGTAGCATTAATGAAACTACTTGGGAGCAATGTTGATTGGTTACTTGAGAGCCCAAGAGTAGTAAGATTTTTCAGAGTAAGAAACACATCTAGCTCCACTGTTCCGTTTAGGTTATTACCATTAAGATAAATAACTTGCAGATTCACAAGTTAAGAGATGACTCGGGAATTGGGCCGTGCAAAAAAATTAAAAGAAAGTCGAAGATATCAGAGCTGTGTCAAATTACTAAAGGAAGAAGGTATCTGACCCGTAAAATTGTTGAAAGAAAGGTCCAGATATAGCAGTTGTGTAAAATTATCAAATCAAGATGGTATTGACCCTGAGAAATTGCATCCTGCCAATTCCAAATGATTTAAGGATTTAAGGAATCCCATTGAATTTGGCAGTTCTCCAAAAAAGTTACTTCTGGAAAGGTCCAAATTATAACAACCCGAACCCGAGGGTCCGAATCGCTAACCGGGTCCTTACCCAAACCCGAGGTCAACAAAAAACGTGACCATTATTTCCTATGGCAATACATAATATACGTGTCATCCCAGGGTTTATAAATAATAATAATAGTAATAATAACAATAATATGATATCATAGCTACAATATAGGTCAAACAATCCACTAACCCATCAAGACCTGTAAAGGAACGTCGTCCGCCACTTTTTTTCCCAAACCTAAAAAATGTTAAAATAATGAGGTGAGCATAAGCTCAATAAGAGGTGTCTAAGACACACCTCTTATGACCCCGTAAATCCACATATAGAATAGAAATCAAGAGAACGGGATCATACTATACCAGGGATACAATCCATAACCACAACGTCAAATATAACCACAATTGTCATCAAAGTCACAAGTATAACATGTATGACAATGAAGTGCAATGCCATACCCATGTCGCTCCCCTTATCCGAAACATCTCCGTTTCAACTTCCAAACCGTTAGTGTAATCCAACCCAAGGCACCTCCAAGGCGTCACGAAAAGAGGATTGGCTAACTATCCACGACCACAAGGCACCTCCAAGGTGTTGTATCCGGCCTAGTTAACTCAACCACACTCCCTTCTAGACTACATTAACACCACAGACCACTAGGCGTCTCCTAGGCGTCCGGTTTTTGCAAACACATTTCAAAAAAATTTCCCCAAAAATAATTTCATTTGTTCTCTAAAACACTTTTCCCATTCTCTTTTATTCCCAATGGATGCATGAATGCTTCATGCTTCTAAGCACAATTCAACAATATTATTATTATTATTATTATTATTGTTATACATTTTTTTTATAGGAAATTCCAAACAATTATTTCATAAACACAACATCAATTTCCATAGCAATTGAGAATTCACAAGTCACACAATATACCAAAATTAAGCATGCTTCTTCACAATAATTTAAATAGCCATGTATATAATCCAATTAGCATGTAAAACACATTTGTCTTTTTGGGCACATACAACCACAATAGCAATGGACAAAATAATTAAAATTAAGCATGCTTATGGTCAAATTAAAGAGGAAAATTCACAAACATCTAAGAAATTGTGGATTAGAACACCCCTACCTTAAAAAAGAATTTTCCTTACTGGATTATCAAAGCCTCAAGTTTCCAGCCTCTTCTGGAACCTCGGACCTCTCTCTGTTTCTCTCTATCTCTCTCTCTGTGTGAACTCTCGGGTCACTGTCTCTCATCTCAACTCTCTCTAATTTTTTTTTTTTTTCATCTGTTTGCTTTCTCTCAAAATGCTTATAAGGTCACAATGCAGACACAAAAATAAATAAGCAATTCCACCGATTTACAACTCACAGCAGCCCATCATTTCAATATCAAAATACCAACCAAAGGATAATCTCTTTCTCCAAAAAGTCGAACAACCCACGTGAAGGAAACTAAAGAAAGAAGAAAATTTGGCCCAAAAAAATCTTCAGTGGGCCCTGCAAGTACACAACCACCATTATCACAATTTTCTCTTCCCAATTAAATTCGTCCACGTTGCTGCCACCTGCTACATTTACTTCATCAGATATATATATATATATATATACACAATGTAACAAACCAATTTCAAACCCATTACCCATCTCCAGTGGGACCCGTACCAAAATCATTACAACCTTTTTTTTTTTTTTTTCACCAATTTCGGCAGGCAGCACCTCATCTCTCCTCCAACTGATGCTACATATATATAAATACACACAAATGCCTAAAACTTAATCAAACCCACTAACTTCTATTTTTCTCTCTCGGCTGACCACACATTCTCATCTCAATCATACAATATATAAATATATATATATACATATATATATATATATATATATATAACAAAACTAAATCAAATTTCAAAACCCACTAACTTTAATAAATAATAATTAATTTAAACAGTCTAAAAATCATAAAATAATTAAATTAAAATCTTAAAAATTCGGGTCCAACACAAATATTGTAGTTGTGAAAAATTACCAAACCAAGACGGGATTGGTCGTGAGAAATTGCATCTTGCTATCTCCACACGATTCAAGGATTTAAGTTGTCCCGTTGAATTTGGGAGTTTTCCAAAAAAGTTGCTTCCGAAAAGGCTCAAATAAAAAAGTTGTATGAGGTTACCAATTGAAGACAATATTAACCCTGAGAAGGTGCATCTTGAGATATCCAATTAAAAAAATAAGTAGAGATTTCCCATTGAATTTGGAAACTCTCCAGAAAATTTTGTGCTTCCTAGCCCCAATTTCTTGAATGGACTCCTCATGTGGAATTCAGGCAAGTACACGCTGAGATCTAGATTGTTTTGCACGCTAAGAATCTATAGGTTTGGTAACTTAAAAATGCCTGCCAGAAATTCACCTTGTAATTGACAACCTTTGAGAAGCAAAGAAGTTAAAGATGAAAAATTAGCCAAAATGTGAGGTATTGTAGAAGATATGTTCACCTGATTGAGGTAAAGTTCTTTTAAATCCATCACATTCTGAACCAAGCTTGTTAGACCAGGCTTTACGAGCTCAAGTAATGAATTTCTTAAGAGATGAAGTGAAGTTAATTTGGTTAAATTTGAAATTTCCAAAGGGATTTGACCAGCAAATTCGGTGTATGAGAGATTGAGAAAAGTTAACCTTGAAAGAAGTCCTACATGGATTTGAGATTTATTGAAATAATTGTCCACAAGGTTGAGTGTCTGAAGGTGAACAAAGCAGAAGAGGGTATTGTTGGTGTTGATAAAACCGGAGAGAAAACTGCTACTGATGTCAAGGCCAATGACACGGCCGGTGTCATCATCATAAGTGACACCGTCCCATGAGCAGCAATCACTGCTACTTGTATTCCACGATGCAACCTTTGGATAAGCTGAAGGATCCAAAGATACGAAATGAGACTTTATTATTGAAAGGCTTTGTTTGAAGTGCATCAAAGCAAAGCTGTCATCATGGTGGCAGAGTGGGTTTTGCTGCTGTAAAGAAGAGAAAAAGTGAACAGTATGAAGTAATCAAACGTATTGATGATGAGTAGGAGGAAGAGCAAGTAGTGCCAAAATAAGGTGAAGTGACACAATATTGGCAAACAACCCATGATCAATTATATGATATATAAATTCTCTTTGTTTGTTTGGCACTATATAGTATATATGATAATCAAGCATATGAGAGGAATTGTTTATATAGAAGAATAACAAAATGATATTATATGTCCTACGTAATATTGTTGAGTCAAGTCAAGTGGAGAGATAGTAATTGAAGTAAAAAGACTGACAATTCGTTGTATTCCACAGAAGCATACATCCTTAAGTCTTGTAATATTTTTGGCTTTTGCCATTTTCCATTTTCTGATTTTTTTTCGGGTTTATTTCCGTTTTGTCTAGTTTTACGTGCCAGACACCGTGGGGTATGCCAAGTGTGTCAGAGTGTTGATTGGGGCATTTCTTTAAGTTCAAGACTCTTGGAAATGTATTGGTTGCTATTTTGGTATTTTTTTTATTTTTAGGGCCGAGAGGTTTCAAGTGAGACCCGTTACCGGAGTAGTTATGTACGGGGGTTGTGTCACGGGTCCATTGCATTTCATGCATTGTTATTTTATGAATAAGTTAATTATTTAAATGCTTATTGTGGTTGTAAAATGAATTGTTTATATATATATATATATATATATATATATAAATATAAATGTTAAATGTATTATTTATTGCCGTGGGCCCCACAGGGGCTTTAGTTATTGTAATGACCAAAGGGTCATTACCACACCTGACTTTCTTTCTCTCTCCATGCGGCTACCTTCTCTCTTCCTCTGCTTTTTATTTTTCTTTTTTCATTTCACAATTTCAATCTTCAATTATCCCGTCATCTTTTGGAATTTTTGAGTGCCGTTTGCGACAAAACGGAGAGCACGGCGATTGGTGCATCCTAGGAATTTCGAATTTAGGACCCATTTTGGGGGTTTTTCCATCTTAAGAGATAGGGGTCTCTAATACATAATCTTCTTGTGCTTTTGTGAATTATCTTGTATAAATTGTTACCTAGCATGTTCAATGTGTATAAATTCTTGCAAAAATTACTTAAATGTTGTATATGTTTAATTATGTGTTGAATGATGTGTTGTGATCAAGCATGCTTGTATGGACTAAAATTTATGTTTTATAAGCTTCCCATGCTAGATTATTATTGAATGAAAGCATGTATGTATATTTTTTATTTACTTGTAAAGCATGCTATGTGGTTTAAGTTAAATTAATTGTATGAAAATGAGTATTGACATGGTATGAAAAGGCATGATACATTTTATGCATAAGCATTGGGCAAGAAAAATGAGAAAGTTATTCTGAAATGGAATGAAAAAGGTTTTGGGGAAAAAGTTTTGAAAGGGTTTGCAAAAACCCAACCGCCTAGGAGTTACTTAGGAACCGTGGCTTTAGTGTGACCTAGAGGGACATGAGGAGATTTTTCTAGCGTGGTTGAGTTACCTGGGCCTCAAATGATGCCATGGAGTTGCCATAGGTCAAGAACAGTTAACCAATCCTTCTCTCGTGCCGCCATGGAGTTACCATGGGACGGGTTACACTAACAGTTTGGAAATGATGACGGAAAAAGTTTTAGAAATGGGGAGCGACATTACATGACATTACATTCCATAGCATGGCATGGTTCGTTTATGACTTGGATTATTATTGTTGATGTTGTGGTTATATATATTTTTTCTTCTGGAAATGGCATGATCCCGGTTCTTTTTCCTATTCCTTATTTGGATTCACGGGGTCACAAGAGGTGTGTCTTAGGCATCTCCTACTGAGCCATTGTGCTAATCCCTTTATTATTAATATTTTTTAGGATACAGAAAGGAGGTGGCGGATGACCATCCACCACAAGTTTAGACCGGATTAGAGATTTATATTTGCTATTTTTGTTTTAGAACTTTAATATTTTGTAAATGTAAATCTTGACTATTTTATAAAACTTTAGTATAATTTATATAATGTTAAAAATTATGAACTTTTGATTTCAGCTGTATTTCATGAACTGTAAATTGACGTAATTAAAGTATGTTTATTGTAAAGGAGTATGAGATTAGGTAGTGGACTAGCGTTTCCATATTTTTGAAGGAATTAGAGGAATGAGACTCTTTTTATATGTATATTGTTGTTTTGGAAATATTTTATATTATTTACATTGTGCGTTGAAACAGGATAGATTAGTTTATGACTAAATGAGGCCATTATATTTTTTTATGCATTTCAACATGTTGTTATAAAATCTTTTTTAGTTGAGGTTATGTCAAATTTTTTATTTTTTTTTATAACTAAAATCATTTTAGATCGTTACAAGTCTCCGCTGCATAAATGATACTTTTCAACAAGGGACGTCTTCCTCTTAATTTCAACTGTCCTACTTTCTGCCTAGAGATAATCACCACACATGAAACACACACACACACACACACAAACAAAATATTATTGGGCTAGATCTGGTGTACACTAGTTGATGTAAACGTGGATTTTGGGAGTAGAATAAAAATTCCACCCCACTACAATTCCAGGTACGTCTATTAATTACTCATAAGCATATGTATGTTTATAAAATTATTCTATTATTAATATTTTCTTCTTTCTATTCCTCTTCTTTCCGTTCTTATTATTTTATTTTTTTAGATTTCCAAGGATAACAAATTCTCCATGCATATTATTAGTTAAGAAACCAAAATTTTATATTTTTACCAAAAATAATTATTATTTTAAGCTCATTTTCAAACCAATGTTCTTCACTCTCGAGCCCCTTTCTTTCCATTCTAGAACTCATGTAAGCATTTCATTGAACATTTAGGATGCACAAGTGTATGGACCTGTGCCAAAATATAAATCACCCCACATTTTTTTTTTTTTTATCACAATACCACTGGAATCATCCAAGCTTCCAATTATTTAGTTCAAATCAAGCCAAATCACAATTAATCCAAGAAAAATGCAAATACATTCATTCTTATATGTATTTAGTTATTATTATTATTATATTTTTTTTGAAGAGTAAATCAATTTATTGATAATAAAAAAATTTATGTACAAAATTTGGCCCAACACATGATTCTTCAAAGATATTGTGGTCTCCGGGGTACATAGGTTTCTCCTTTATATATATATATATATTTACACATATCATATATATATATAATTTTGAAAAGTTTAAATAAACACACACCCACAATATTGAATTTAAAATTTGATTCTGAGAGTATTAAATATTTAATTATTTTAATTTTTTATTTATTTATTTTGTCCTTAGAAAATTAGTACTAAACATGGAGAAGATTCTCTTTCACTCTGGGATTGTGCATGCACTATATTAAATTTGAACATGGAAGACATTATCTTACTTTCTTTCATCTTCAGATTCAGTTTCCATCTACAAAAAAATTGACGCTACAAATGGGGTAACTTTATTTTATTGTATATTAACATTCTTTTCTTATATATAGGAATGACAAAAGGCAAAGTGTGACAATATTGCATGTAATTCAATTCCAAAATAGAGGAGTAATTTTTATTTTTCTTAAAGTGAATTAAAGCACTATCATTTAATGTAAAATGTTAAATATCTGGGTTGCTTCCATATTTAGAGAGAGAAATGAGGCTTGTTTCTCATCTCATCAAGAATGCTACTATGTTGGAGAAAATTGTGATACAATGGAACTATAATTGTTCGCGACAAGGAGCAGTCACCACGAAGAGCTTGAGATCATTAGGGAAGTATTGGTACTAAATATGGAGATGAATATTTTCTCACTCAGATTTAGGTAACGATATTATCTGACTCTCTTTCATCTTCAGAACTAGTGTCCATTTACAAGAAATCATCAGTTTATCGAATCATAGAACCAAAGTTATGTGATAATTTTATTAGCATTCTTTTCTTATATATAGTAATGACGAAGGTTTTTTATTTTATTTTTTTCTAATTATTATTATTTTTTTAATGTAGTATTCTCATTTTGTTTTTTAAACTATATATCTCAATCAGGCCAAACCAAATTCGAGAGAAAACATACTTCCATATGATGAGTCTAGAGTTTTGCAGGAAAAGAGAGAGAAATGAGGCTTGCTTCTCGTATCATCAAGAATGCTACCATGTTGGAGAAAATTGAGATACAAGCTAGGCGACCATAATTGAGAAATGAGGCTTGCTTCTCGTATCATCAAGAATGCTACCACGTTAGAGAAAATTGAGATACAAGCTAGGCAACCATAATTGTTCGGCAGAAGAATCAGACACCACGAAGAGCTTGCGATTTCTGCCAAATGCCTGGATGAATTCTTCTGTAATCATTAAACCGCCCTACAAGTTTAAAGACTCAGGTTGGTGGGGATTTTGAATGTTGGATTTTCGACACTTCAATAATACTGTGTTGAACATCACTTTTAATTTCAAATTTTATATTTATCATATGGATTTCAGTATAGAAGTGTTATTCTGCTGTATGAGAGAAGTTCAATTTGAAACTTTTTGCAAGAGGAATAATATTTAGCGATATTATGTGCTGATCTTGTTATTATTGTGAAAATGGATGTTGAATTGACTATATATAAATATATATATATATATATGCTGGAAGCATTGGAAGAAAACTGCAACTCAGAATTTTATAACTGAATTTTGCACTTCCAATTTATACGCAAATACTGTCTATGCAAGACTATCACGGAATTTTCTGACAACTTCCTTAAAAAATTGAAAAAAAAAAAAAAAAAATCCCGATCTCTACAAATATTGTCTATGCAAGCTATATAACAGATATTAGATATTTACCAATATAAATAGAACAGATGTCAGATATTTACCCAAATATATATGTAACAGTTGTCACATTTATCAAACTCTGACACAGTCAATCCACTAAAATCTAAGTATATGTTCACTCACCTAAAACTTCATGGAGCGTGTATCATTATGAAATACAAATTCTGTCATCTCGGTTCTTGCGATCACTGATTTAAAAAGCAAGAACAAGGCCAGCAGAAAGCAAGCATTTTCATCAACTCCACTTTAGGTATCCCAAATCATCACAACAGCAATCACCCCAACCCCCGAAAGTGCAGACAAGAACTTGTACTGAGGAGTATCAACCGAAACCCTCCTCTGTGGTAAGTGACCCTTGGATAGTAAATGATTAGCGGAGACATAAATGAAAACCCCACAAGCAAGGCCCAACGAAATGCCACAGATCCAGTCTGCTACAATGCCCTGCGTCGTGGCATCTATCACAATCCCCATAGTAACACCAATAGGACTTGATATGGCAAAGGCAAAAGCATAAGCAACACATGACATGAGAGGATAGTCCGGAATACTATGCAGGACGGCTGTTCCCATTGCAATGGCCGCAAAAACCTTGTGCAGGCTCACCGTCCAAAGGGCTCTCCAAGCCCTGGCTTTTGTGTCTGCAACTCCAATTGCAATGCCTTCAAATACAGAGTGGAAACTCAAGCCTATAATCAACAAGACGGTGTCCCAAAAGGAAGTATCATAAAAAAACGAGGCTTCCACATAATCATCTGTGCCATTGTCAACCTGCTGAAACATTAAAAGTAAACAACTATAAAGTCACGACTCGGTTAGTTTCTATAGCATTTGGTATCCTCTTCTGTTATGATTCTTCACACATATACATTCTAATGGAGACTCTGATGGTTCCACCCTAAGCTAGACTTTGCAGATACAATATTTAGTTTCTATAGCATTTGATATCCTCTTCTGTAATGATCCTTTCACCCATATACTACATTTTAACGGAAACTGTGATGGTTCCACTCTAAGCTAGACTTTTTAGATACAATATTTATACGAGACGACAGGATAATGGTAAATCTCCTTTATATCTCACCTGAATTTGTGACTGTGAAGTTCCAACATCACTGCTAGGTTTTCTCCGCTGCACACTGCCTGCAAACAAGAGAAAAATATACGAAAACTGTGTTAATAAGTACTAATGTATTCAATTAGCCTCAGTCTGCTCCACACACTCAGGCAAACCAATAAAAGAAAAATAAAGCTATTAACTCAAACAATTTGTGACCAGTTAAGATCATTGAATTTCATTTTGCTAGGCCTTAACATCAAAATACCACCTTTTAAGCAGGGTCATGTTAATCGTCACAACTGCTCAATTACCAATCCAACAAATGGTTTCCTATTCTCTGGAATTAGTAAATTGGTCTCACATTTCTTCAAAAAGATTTTAACTTACTAAAATCCCACAATCCACTTTGTGTAAAATACTAAAAAAATAATAGTAACTTCCTACTTGCAACAAGAAAATTGACCAAAAAATAGCTTAATTTTCTCGAAAAAAAATAATTAAAAAAGCCACTGTTAGCATCAAAACCTCCACAAGTCTGAAGGCTAATCCATAAACATTTCCAATGCCACTGTCAATTTCCATAATATATATCTGTTTCTTAAAATAACCAGCTCATTATCTAGCCATCAAGTGACAATTCATCAATTCATAATCAATATGTGTGTGTGAAATCTGAGAAGGTAAAATGAATGTGGAATACAAAAAGTCATACCTTGCAGAGGGATGCCACTACTAGTTCGTTTTCGATGGATATGGAGAACGATACAATTGGCTAACATAGTGAGCAAATACCCCACACTCGCTAACATGAACGCAAAGGGATAGTGTTTGGAGGTCAAATTCTGAAAAGCCTCATTTGAATCGCTGAGGAAATCCATCAGAGCCGTACCCAAGAACACTCCACCGGCGAACTGTGTCCCCAATACAACAAACCCTTGGTTCCATTTCATCAAGTAGGGCGAAACCCCAGCTGTAAATGTAACAACGAATACTAGAATCAGAGACCAGATTTTGACAAGAATTAGGGACTTGGATCTGAGGTCTGGCGGCTCAGCCGGCAGTGGGTCCGCGTCGGCGCCTCCGTGGGCTGAGGCAGAGAGGAGGAGGAGGATGAAGAGGAGGAGAGAGGGAGGCATTGCGGATACTGAAGTAGAAAAGGGGATGCATTTGGTGCTTGGAGTTAATAATAGTGTTAGGACGTCTCTAATGAATTGTTTTGAATTTGTTTGGTGGATGTTTATGAGCCACTTCTAACACTGTATTTTATTATACACAGAACAGTGGATGTATGGAGAGACAGAGTGTGCTCGCGTTCACGTTGCCGCTGGACATATATACGGATATTGTATTGTATATCTGTACAAACACACAAATCTATGTACAACACAAAAATGATGCACAAGTTGAGGAATCTATATAGCATTATTGTATAGTATTGTCATTTTTGTGTTGCTGGCATCTTGTGCCAAACACAACAATTTTATGTTAATGAATATTAGGGGTGCAGGTTGGGCAGCCCAACCCAGGCCCGTTCCAACCTCATCACAACTCAAATTTGGGCCAGGCCGGGCCAAGGTCAGCCTAGATTTGAGCTCTACTTTTCCGGGTCAAACGGGTTGGCCGGCCAACTTCTTTATATATATATATATATAATACACATAATACAAAAAAATATACAAATCACATTTGTTCCTTTTCAGTATTTGAAAATATCAAATTTTTAGAGAAATTTTTAATTTTCAATTCACTAATATTTTGTCATTTTTTCTGTTTAATTTTTTTTGGCATTGCAAAGGCAGAGCAGGATCTTATTAAAAAATTGGTATAGTGACTGAAATATTCAACTGTTAATTTTTGGGTGCTTCCAAAAACTGGAGAGAGTATTCAAAGACCAAATCATGATCAATCATGTTTGATTAAATCACGCCAAATTGTTCTAATTGAAGAGAGAGCTAAGAGCAGTACTTACAATTGAAACACTCCCTTCACAATGTCAAGATGCATATTGCAAAATCTTCCTATCAAGACAGTTAGGAGACATATATAATCACATTTATGAAACTGAAAAAGGTGAACAAATTAAGTTTTTTTTCCATGAAAATAAAGAATTCAATTATTAAAAAAAAATTAAAAATTAAAAATTATGTGGTCTGAACAATAGTGGTGTGTTTCTACTTCGTTATCCTGAATCCATAACATAACAATACTGATTGAAAATGTCTCGATCAACTGATGTGAATGTATGTTTATATATTTATGGTGTGATATAGCCATATATATCACCAACAACATTATTAAACGTCCAACTATTCCAAATTAATACGTACTGGATGAAATTTCTATTTCCATGACTGAGAAAGATCAGATGAGTTGATCTTTTCACATTCGGAAAAATATATGATCGTATGATTCATATCTTTGGGAAAGTTTAGTAGTTATGTGAAAGCGCTGCACCTAGGTCATGTCCTGGTTTAATTATTTTTCTTTAGTACTAGGAAAGCACTAATTATATATCATGGTACTTGTTGATCCTAAAATCGGCCGGCTAGAGCCGATTTTAAGTTGATGAGTTGTGGGCGTGCCAGAACCAAATATACTTCAGGCGATTATAAGAGATAGAGAACAAATAAACTCCTAAATGAGTTCAATATTGCCTTAGTTAAAAGGACTTTACCAGTGAATAAATTATAGTAACAATATGAGAATAGAAATAGGAGAAAAACAAATATAGAAGGTGATAGGGAGAAGAGATAGAGAGACAGAGATATAGGGAGAGAAATAGAACGAGACTGAAATAGAGAAAGATAGAGATAGCAAGGATGCTATTTAGGGAAAGTACTTGAAAAAACAAATAAATAAATAAATTGATTCTGAGGGTGCTGGACCTCTTGTGAAGCGTGTCTCTCTGTTTATTTATAGAATAAATGGTAAAACAAATTCCTAAATACAAGCATCCTAGTTATATTCTAATACAACCACATAATTATTCAAATTAAACTAATCCTAACTAAATACTAATTCCAAATAAAATCTAATCCTATCGATAAACCAACTAAAAATAAATTCAAACTAAACATTCCTAGATAAACACTAATTCAAAAATCAAGTAAACACATAAATCTTATCTAACATAAAGTACAAGAACATTCTATCCATGTAGCATCCTTACACATAGCGTTATTTTGTATGAGAACTACCACGTCACTGTTCATGTATAGCACTAATAGATTTTCTTCCAACTGAAATGCTATTCCAAACCACCTTCAATCGAATCACCTTCCATGACCCAGATATCCTTCTCGTCCCAAACTCCTAGCACATCATCACTGACCAGGCTTTATGTTCCTGGCCCATATTACTATATCATTGATCATCAAGTCCAATTGAAGCCCAAACCCAATTACCAAAATGGGTGTCAACAATGCCTCCCAATTTTGGTAGTCGTTTTAACCCTTCGGCTTCCAAAATTTAAATTACACCCATTGTATCAAGTTGATATACACACCATAGAACCACCCACTGTCATCATTATTCCAGGTTCATAAATGGCTTAAGTTGAACACTCACCCTCTATATTTGACTTATTAGAGGCTTTCTTTTCCTCCAAAAGTTCAAAAATAGTGGGTTGATACTTCTTCAAATACCTTCTATTTATTGGTCTTTCATGCACCTCACCATCCAAATCCTTCAACTTATATGCACCTCCATGCAACACCAGATGAACTATATATGGTCCATTCCATGTAGGTAACCACTTGCCATAAGTTCTGTCTACTTTTCCAGGCGGGAGAATTGTTTGCCAAACCATATCACCCTCTGCAAATGACTTGAACTTTACCCTTTTATCATAAGCCTTCATTACCTTTGTTGATTTTACATTTAACTCCATTGGCAACATAGCATCATGGCCAAAGGTTAACCGATAAGGAGTTGTTCCTGTACTTGTTTGCTTTGAATTTCTATAAGACCACAAGGCTTCTGAAAAGGTTCCATGCCAACACCTCGGCTTGTCCTTTATCATTTTTTCAATGATTTCAATTACAACTTTATTCGAAGCCTCAGCCTGGCCATTCCCTTGAGCATAATAGGGTGTTGAAGTTACTATTTTTACTTGCATATCACAGCCAAGTTGCAATACTTCTCTAGTTACTGATACATATTCCTCGGCTTCTACCCTTTTGGTGAAATAATCGGTAGCTAAAATAATCCAATGATGACCCTTTGATGAAGGAGGATTAATCTTGCCAATTAAGTCCATGGCCCAACCTCTGAAGGGCCATGGTTTGACTAATAATTGCACCTCTATTGCTAGAATCCACTGCATTGGGCCATGCTTTTGACAATCTGTACAACCCTTTGCATAGGTAATGCAATCTTTCCTCATTCTAGGCCAATAATATCCATATTGGCGTATCAACCATTTCATTTTGATGCCGGCTTGGTGAGCTCCATATATTCCTTCGTGTACCTCTGCCATAATCTTTAAACCTTCAAACTTGCTAAAACATTGAAATAGTAGACCATCATCAGCCGATCTTCTATAAAGATCTCCATCCATAAGTACATAATCGACTACACTTCTTTTTATTTTTCGATCGGCTTCTGGAGTCGGATGTGGTAAGAATAAGATGTAAGGAATCCTCCAATCATCATCATCTAACTCGGCAACATCAGTAGCGAAGACCTCTTCTATAATTTTTATTTTTGAGGGATGCCGATTTTGGGAATGGAATCGGCTAGATATATATTCTAGCCGATTTTGTTTTTCTGCTTTTACACGACTGTTGCTAGAATTATCCAGCCGAGACTCTTCACCAGGCTTAATTGGGAAGGTAAGCCACTCAATAATTCTTTTCTTCTTTAGTTGAAACTCATACCGAGAAGGTCTGTCTGCCAAATCAAAGAGATCTTGAAACTCGACCCCATCAAACCTCTTGCGATGTTCAATGTCTAAACCGTTTAATGCCAACTTGATGCATTCTGGTTCTGGCAAACTTACTTGGCATTTGAGTTTAGCTTTTCTGAACTTGGCTACGAAAGTTTCAACCGATTCGCTCGACAACTAAGATAAACGGGATATGTTTGCCAGCATAGCCTCTGTCTCTGTTCGGTATAAATGGGTATGGAAGGCTTCCTCCATTTCATCCCAAGTTGATCGGTTGAGTCGATTACAATTATAAATCAACCTTCGCAATAGCACGAATCATTGTAAAATAGGGCTATTGGTCGGGTAAGTCGAACCACTGGGACTGCGCTAATCTATGGCAACCTAAGTGTCTAAAGTCTTTTTAGAATGATAGGGGTGTTCATAGAGGATTTGTTGGTTGTCACTTAAGTTATGAAATTAAGGTGCATAAAATAAAAGCTTGCAAGAATTTAAAAGAGATTAAATACAAGTAAAGAGGACTAGGGAAGTGAATCCGCCTCCATCCCTATACACATACTAGATTAGAGCTAAATTGGGGAAAAAAACAATATATATTATGGTCATGATACATAGCAACACTTGGTTGCTATAATATCCTCAAGAAGTTCATTAAATCTGAAGCAAGCATGATCCATCAAAGGTTAACATGTTTAGACTACCTAACTAAGGTGTAGCTTAACCACATTTACTTGAATGAAAGACTATCAAGCCCTAGATAAAATGATGAAGCACATGAAGGTAAGAAATAAGCATAAATCATCAAAGGTTTCACCTAAGCAATGATCTATCAAAGTCCTTATCAACATGCCATTAAACCATTTCATAACCTTGCCTCCATTCTCACCATGAAAACTCAAGCAATATGATCAATATAAGACATCATCTAAAACAAGATAATCAACTTAAAGAAATCATCCATACATATATCAACATTCATTACAAGAAATGAAGTGCTCTTGGTTATGAAAAGACCATAGAATATACATTTTAATCCCCAAAATATAGCCTAAAGTAGAACATGCTTACAAGGGAGGGGCCTCATCACCTCCCTAGATGGAGGTTTAGTTACCCATGGGAGCTTTAGAAGAAGGAAGAAACTTTGATGCAACCTTCATTTTCAAGCTCCTTTGTTGTAGCTTCAAGAACTCTATCTTCTCCTCTTCTTTCTCTCTCTAGAAATCTTGCAAAGATGAGATATGATCTTCTTTGTGTGGTTCCCTCACCTTGTAGACATCCTCTCCCCCCAAACAAGGCTCAACTCCCCACCAAAAGACATCTCCAACCAACCCATAAAGATGGAAATCAGAAATGAGGGAATCAAGGTGCAAGTGGGCTGAAGTGATGGATCCCGGAGAGCATTCTGCTCAAAGTTCGAGCACTCTAAATAAGCACTTCGAGCGCTCGAAGTTGGACCAGTATGCTCCTTTCTCTTGACCTACTTTGCACTACTTTGGTAAAATAGCCATA